CTACCATGCCCTTGGTGAGCATATCTGCATCGGATATCGTGAGTATACTGGGGACTACTTCCGAGAGAGCGATATATGGCTTTGAGGATTTTAGGGAGTCCAGACATTTGGACAGCAACTCACTGGTTTACAGGGATGCTGGTAACGGTCGAGTTGGCTCGAAGTAGAGCGTCAGGTATGAGCAGGTAGCGGTGGGAGGATGGCCGCTGGTTCACGATCAAGATAAGTGAGATGGCATTGAACCTCGGTCCTTTCGGATAGTAAACACGATACGATCCTTATCAGGATCAGCGATCCTTATCAGGATCAGCGATCCTTATCAGGATCAGCAATGTGGGTTAATCTTGTGACATCCGCTGAGCCGATGAGAGGCTATCGTCTACTCCCACTAAACAACTCGACATAAAATAATACTTTCACCGATATAATCATCGTCGAACGAGTCACAAACATTTAGTAAGTGATCAATTGCTACGATAGCGATATCGAAATACCGACCGATGATAGTAACGTTTTGATATTGCTGATATTCGGAAACTAAATCGTTCACCTTCAACCCGGTCTCAATGAACTCCATCTCTCCCATGCCCTTATTCGCGGTTACTGAAGGAACGCCTCACGCCGGAAATCTGCAGTGGAGGCTCAGCGACACGTTTGAGCATCTCCTGCAATACAGTACATTACCGAAGAATGTCACAACCATCTTGAGGACCTCAGGATTTCCTTGATAATAGAAGATGAGCTCGATACGAGCCGTAAGTGGCGGTGACGATGTCCAAAAAGACGACACGGGAAACCTAAGGTTCCGTCGGTTCCCTCCTTGTAATACACATCGATGGGCTCAAGCTGCGAGTCACAATGACCATGGTAGGTCTCGATACTTCGGATATCTATCCGACCCCCGACTCAGAAGAGTCGATGCCACCATGCTCGAGAGAAATAACCTCACACAACTTGGCATCGATCCAATAGTCGCACTGACCAGCCCGGATGTGGACGTAACTCCCGCATATCGAAAACTTCGCTAACCACAAACAAATGAGCCCTTCCGATAACGATGAATTGAACAAACGAAGGTAATGTGGATGATCAAGAAGCTGGAAGCTTTTCAATGAGTTGTTAAGCATGCAAAGATTAACATTTAGAATTCATCCCCATATCCTCCCTCCTCCTCATCATAATAATCATCTTCGGCCGTCTCGATACCGACTTCTTCATAATCCTTCTCAAGAGCAGCCAAGTCCTCTCTAGCCTCCGAAAATTCCCCTTCCTCCATGCCCTCGCCCACATACCAGTGCACGAAGGCACGCTTGGCGTACATCAAATCGAATTTATGGTCAATTCGAGAGAAGACCTCCGCAACGGCAGTTGAATTAGATATCATACAAACCGCACGCATAACCTTAGCCAGATCCCCACCAGGAACCGCCGTAGGAGGCTGATAATTAATACCGCACTTAAAACCTGTCGGTGACCAATCAACGAACTGGATCGTCCTTTTAGTCTTAATAGTGGCAACAGCA